CCAGCACCTTGGGGGCCTCCCCCCACCCAAGTGTCTCACTCTCCAGCCTGGCTCTGAGTCCAGGTGGCCCAGACGTCCTGGAGCCCTAGTGGGATACAGAGACACAGTCCAGACCTGGCTGAGCTGTCAACACATCTTTCTTCTGCCTCCCTGAGAGGAGAGGGGGATGATGTCCCGGCCAGTGCCTTGGCCAAGTCCCGAGGGAGTAGTTGGGAGTATAGGATGGGGAGAATGCAGAGATCAAGGGCTGGCCTGGAAATGAAAGGGCTTTATGCTCTGCCAGGCTCTGGGCACTCACAGGTGGGGTCCTGCACAGAGGCAGGGGGTGGTGAAGGGGACAATGCCATGGCTCACGCTCCCAGATCCTAAGGAAACCAGGCAGAGCTGAGAAGAAAGCAGATGGCAAACCCAATAGGAAACTGAGCCTGTAGGGACTTTCTTTCACTAGTGCCTTAATATCATCGGGGGAGGGTGGGCATGTGGGCTCCCAGTAGTTTCTGCAGCCAGACTCTGGGGGTGAGGGTATTGGGAGGAGGGGCTCAGAAGGACCCAATAACCTTCCTTCTATTGGGACAGAAGATTTTCTCCTAGGGCCAGCTTAGAGCAACCATTTAGTGGCCCCCTAAGCTGGACCCTTCCCCTAGGCATATCCTTTGGCAATTCCTCATTTATCCCACAGAGAATGCAGCAGGCCTCACTCCTGCCAGGCTGCTCCATTCACTGTTTCCCCCATAAGAAACACACACACTCACACACACACACACACACACCACTGTCTAGAAAACCCAGTTCACTTTCCACCTCCCCCAGGAAGCCGACCTTCACCACACTCAGGAAGCACCATTGCTCTGAGCTTCTGAACCACTTACTCTGACCCTTGATTACAAACCCCTGGAATGGCCTTTCACCACTTTGACCGACTGAGGACTGCCCATCTAGGGCATTTCACTGTCTTCTCGGCCTTCATCCATTTGTGGCTGTGCTCAGGGATGGACACCAAGGCTTGGTCCAGACTAGGTGATTGATTTGTTCTCTCCATACATCTACATACTCCTTCTTGGGGCCTCGTCCCCAGGTCAGAACTGCCAGCAGGAAGTTTACATATCCCTGATTCCAGCCCCTGGAGCAGACCTGCCTCCGAGCAGAGCAGAAGGTGTCCTGGGAGGACCATATCTACCCTAAACAGTGAGATTAAGTTGCACCTGTGTATGGTGGCGGCCTTGAGCATAGGGTCAAGGGTGTGACCTCTGAGTCAGTTTCCTCTGATCCCACTTAGGCAAGCGCTCATCCCAGAGAGAAGGAAGTATGCCTCCTGGAGACTCAGCCAAGACTCACCAGGGACAGAGAATTTGAAGAAAACAATCCTGCATAGCAAGACATCACTTCTGTCCCAACAGCAATTTTAAGACAAATATGTGACCTAAATTGGATTCCAAAGGCCAAGTGTCTCCTCCATGGGCAATAGCCTCTATTGGCTATTCCAAGTTTTATCCAATATTCCATCATTCAGTGTTTATTGAGAACTTACTACAAATGAGATGTCATACTCCAAGCATTCATTCTCTCAGGCTTCACAATAACTTATGAGGTATACATCATTAAACCCATTTTACACATGAGGAAGACTGAGGCATACACAGGCAGTAAATGACAGAGAAGTATTTAATTCGGTTTCCCAGTCTCATGTTCTATTGCTTACAGCGGGGGGCCCCCGGATTTTTGGAATTCACAGACCAATAACATTTCAAAAATGATTTTTGGGAACAAACACAGAATCCCATGCCAACTTTTTATTTAGCCAAGGACATAAAAAATACCATCTTCTAGCACTATGATTTCATAAAAGGGCATTTCAACACAGAAAATTCAGCAAGGATATAATGTTAGAATAAAGACAGACTTCTAAGAAGGACAGTTGGCAACCTTACCCTAAAATATCCTACATTGTTCTCCTTCTCTCTCTCTCTCTCTCTTTTTTTTTTTTTTTTGTTAAATTTCAGGCAGAACTGGCCAAAACCCTGGCATTACACGGTGTGGGAGTCACATCCCTACCTCTGAGCTGCCTCTTTAAGCAAGAACAATGCCCTCAGCCAAAAAGCAAATAAACTTTCAGAATTTCTTAGCCCCCTCTGCCCATTCAGGTTCCTACCAAATAAGGTCTGAGACTGACCTATAATTAGCTACATTCCCATCCCGCTCCCCTGGAAGGGAAGGAAGCCCATCTTCACCAGCCCCTTCTCTCTTGGACCCGAATTTTTTCTGGGTTTGCATTCCAGGAATACCCAGGGACCCTGCAGCCCTGCAGGAAGCACATCTGTCTCTCAGAGACACTCAGCTGACAGCCATAGGTGTCTCCATCTCAGTCCAGAGGCAGGACCTTCCCCTTGCCGCAGTCCCCAGGTCCCGTCTATTGTGTTACCAGATGAGCCAGAACAGACCCCAGGCTTTGTAGGCAGCCCTGGAAATGAGAAGGCATGAGACCTGGCTGGAGCAATGGCGAGAATACAGAATGTGGAGGCTCATTCTTCGCTGTCTCTCTGCTTCAACCACGCCAGACTCAGAACCGCCTCTCCTCCCTCCTGCACCTGGGCCTGCCCTCCACCCCACCTGTGTGAGTCGGCCGGGCAGCCGAGAAGAGCCTGACCTGTGGGGCCTTTGGCTGGAGATCCAGCTCCACAGCTTCTCTTGCTCTGAGACGTTTGGCAGGCACGTCTCAGGACTTTAGTTTTCTTGCTTGCAAATGGGAGTAAGAATGTTAGGTAGAGCCACTGAAATCATAAAATGGTCCACAAAAATTTCATGTGGTTTAACAGATGAAGTGTAAACTCTAAGGTGCTAGCTACGTGTCTCTCACCAAATCTGACCCCTTCCTCCAGGGAGTCCTCCCTAGCTACCCCAAGGTCAGCGAGGTCCCCCTCCTCAAATCTCTCATGGGTTGAGGCACGATTTAGTACACATTTCTTTCCTATCTTGCGTTTTCTCCTCTTTCCTAAGGATGAGACTAAGATTCCCCACAACTGGGGCCTGTCAAGGGCTGGGTTTCTTCCTCCTCTACCCGCCACACAGCCGGCATGCCACAGCTGTCCTCCATTGGGGTTTTCACACAGAGGAGACAGGAGAGGCCAGTGTCACCACATGCCTACTTTATCTGATAGTCATTTCTGCGCCCAAGGGCGGTCCTAGATGGTCCTGGATGCGTGGTGCTAACCAAATGGAGGGTATGTGAGGTGCTAGAGGGAGAGGAATCCGAGGGCCCTGACCCCTGGCCTATACCTCCGTCATATCCTCCATCGACTTCAAGGATCCCCTTCAATGGCATTAGCTAACTTCCAGGGTCACTCATGCATAGTTGATGTTTCCTGATCTGCTCTCTGTCCCTCCTGGTTTTGGTTCTGAGGTCCCCAAGATGAGTCGAATCTGTCCTGCTCAGTCCTGATGGAGACACAGACTGTCCCCGACTGTGACGGGGACACAGACTGCACTGTGTAATCAGTGCTCAGGTTGATGGGAGCTCATGGGCCATGGGGACTAAAAGGTGGGACATGGCCAAAATTTGGGTGGCCAGGAAGGGTACCCAGAAGAGAGGATGCCCTTACCACGGATCGTTGGGAAGCCTGTTTGGGCTGACTTCCTGAAGCTGCGGTAGGGCAGACTAGCTCCTGGCTGTATACAGAAGCCCAGAGAAGTGAGTTAAACGGAGGTCTTCTCCCTATGGCTGGCACATCAGGGCAGGCGGGGCTCTCAGCCCGTTAAGAACACTCCTTCTCAAGGAGACCCAAGGACATTCAAGGATTAGGCCTCCCAGCATCTGTGCAGAGAACTGTCAGCTCAGAGCTGCTCAAAAGTAGAAATGCCAGCTAGCGGTGATATCATCACCCCAGTCATTCCCTCCCTCCCCCCTGGTCCTGTGGTCCAGTGGGTAGAGCAGAAAAGCCCCTGCCAGGCTTCGTCCTCCTACCTTGCTTCCAAAATTTCTGCTCTGAATGGGGTGGGGGAGGTGGTCCCAAGTGGGCTCCGAATGACAGTAAAAAATCCTTTGAAGCAAAACTTCATGCTATTCCTCGGAGAGATGGCAGTGCTAGGGGGCCTTTGCGCCCCCCTCCTGTCAGACTTTGCTGACAGTCCACTTCAGCATTAACCCAAACTCCAACCTTCTCTGGCTAACCTTTTCCCTCTAATGCCCCATTTTTGAGCTAATCTTGGCCCTGACAGGAACTGAGGAACCCCTGGGCCATCTTGGTGGCCCCCAGGCCAAGGAGAGGGGACCTGGCAGCCCCGCCTGTGTGGATGGGAGGTGTCAGGCTGTCCTGGGGTGTGGAGGGGAAGAGAGAGGTATCTCTGGCTGACCTGGTGGGATTTGTCCATAAACCCGGAGACGGTAAACGGAGAGAGGACACACAGCTGGATGGCCTGCTGGCCTGTGGGTGGGGATGGGGAGCAGACTCAAAGGGGGAGGGGATTGTATAGCTGCTTGGGGGTAGGGGGCCTGGATGGAGCGGGAACTCCTCTAGCGTTGGTCCACATAGGGGTGTCACAATTTGGATGGGAACCCAGGATGAAGGTCCACAGCTAGCCCCAGAGTGCCAGGCCGCCAAAGCAGCCTGCCTATTGGCTCCCCGCTGCAGCCCCGCTGGTCTCAGAAACCCCCACCTGAACCACCCGCGGGGAGGTGCGCACGGGGATCCGACCCCGCGTCAGCTGTGGGCGCCTTTCCTCGAAGTCTTACCTCGAAGGCCTGGGTCTCACCCGCGCGCCCGGTGCCTCCCGGAGTTTTCCCCACGCCCTCCTTGCTAGGCTGCTGCGAGGCTCCGCAGGGGAAAGACCGGCGGGGGTTCGCCCCCCGCCCGTGTCACAGGAAAACCCCGAGAGCAGCCCAGAGGCAGCGCATTTCCTGGAAACCCCCTCTCCAGACGCCTGGCGGAAAGGCCTGGGGCTCCGCATCCAGACGACCCGCCCGCCTCCCTAGAGGTGGGTCGGAGACTCGGCTGAGAAGCTAAACCGCCGCGGAAAGGCGAACCTAGAGCTCGGAGAAGGAGAGATCGGGAAACCCCGTCCCCCGCCCCTTCCCCCCGCCCAGTCTTGGGGTGGAAATTCGCAGCCCAAGCTGGAATCCTAGACTTGGGGCGCGCTCCCAGCCTTGGCCAAGGAAAGGTATTTGAGGGTATAGGATTAAGGACGCCTCTCCCCCCAGCCGCTAAGGTCTGGCGAGGGTCCACCCTGCGCCCCGGTGGGGCCCGCCCCCCGCCCCCCGCCCCCCTCCCCCCTCCCGGTCCCCGGCCCGCGCGCGGCTGCTCCTTTAAGAAGCCCAGGTAGGCAGGCCCGGCTGCGGGAGCCGCTCCTATGGCAACCCGCGAGCTGCGGCGGCTTCATGAATATTCCGGGGCGCGGGAGCCGAGCGCTGCCGGAGGGCGCTCCGGGGGAGGCGGCCGCTGATGTAAGCCCGGCGGGCCGCTGGGCTCCGCTCGGCTGCGGCGGGAGCCCCGGGACCGGCCGGCCGGGCTTGGCCAGAGGAGGCGAGGCGAGCTCGCGAGTGGCTGGCCACAAAGCCGAGGCGGCGGGACAGACTGACAGCCCGCCGGCCCGCGGGACGCACGCCCGGGAGGCGCGCGGGTCGTGCGCTTTGCGCTCCAGAGCGGTTCTCCGAGCTCCGCGGCCGCAGCGCCGCTTCTACCCGCGCCCATTGTTCCCCGCGGGGGCGGGGCGCCTGGAGCCGGGCCGCGCGCCGCGCCCCCGAACGCGGGAGGGAGAGAGGGAGGGAGCGCGGGGTCCCCGCGCCCAGCCCGGCCCGGGAGGAGGCGCAGCGCGGCGAGCCCGGGGACCCGGAGCCGGATTGGGAGCCTCCCCGCGGCACCCAGCCTGCCCAAGCATGGGCGCCTGAGGCGACCCGGAGCCGGCGGCGAAGGACGCGACCCCGCGGGCGGAGTGACCGGCGGGCGGACCTGGAGCGGGTCGGCGACGCCGCACCCGCGCCCCTGCCCCGGCCGGGCTCCGGCCCCTGGCGCCATGGACAAGCTGCCGCCGTCCATGCGCAAGCGGCTCTACAGCCTTCCGCAGCAGGTGGGGGCCAAGGCGTGGATCATGGACGAGGAAGAGGACGCCGAGGAGGAGGGGGCTGGGGGCCGCCAGGACCCCAGCCGCAGGAGCATCCGGCTGCGGCCGCTGCCCTCGCCCTCACCCTCGGCGGCCGCGGGCGGCACGGAGCCCCGGGGCGCGGCCCTCGGGGCGGCGGACGGCGAGGGGCCGGCCCGCGGCGCGGGCAAGTCCAGCACCAACGGCGACTGCAGGCGCTTCCGCGGGAGCCTGGCCTCGCTGGGCAGCCGGGGCGGCGGCGGCGGCGCCGGAGCGGGGGGCGGCAGCAGTCACGGGCACCTGCATGACTCCGCGGAGGAGCGGCGGCTCATCGCCGAGGGCGACGCGTCCCCCGGAGAGGACAGGACGCCCCCGGGCCTGGCGGCCGAGCCAGAGCGCCCCGGCGCCTCGGCTCAGCCCGCAGCCTCGCCGCCGCCGCCCCAGCAGCCGCCGCAGCCGGCCTCCGGCTCCTGCGAGCAGCCCTCGGTGGACACCGCTATCAAAGTGGAGGGAGGCGCGGCCGCCGGCGACCAGATCCTCCCCGAGGCCGAGGTGCGCCTGGGCCAGGCCGGCTTCATGCAGCGCCAGTTCGGAGCAATGCTCCAGCCCGGGGTCAACAAATTCTCCCTGAGGATGTTTGGCAGCCAGAAAGCCGTGGAGCGCGAGCAGGAGAGGGTGAAGTCGGCCGGATTTTGGATTATCCACCCCTACAGCGACTTCAGGTAGGGAGGCCGACGCGATCCTCTGGGTTCCCTGAGCGGTCGCAGGCATGCTTCCTTCTCTCAGCCCTACCTCTCAGCCGGAGTTAACTTTCCTTCCTCGCGCGGGGAGCTCCGAGAGAAGTGGGGCGCCTCTAGGAACCAAGACACCCCCAGACCTCCTCCTGCACCGCGCTGGGAACTTTCTTCTCTGTTCCAGGCTCCAGTCCTCGCCCTCTTGGGATCTGGGCCACATTAGAGGCCGGCTGAAAAGGTGTTCTGAGCCTGGCCTAGCCCTGCAGGCAGCCAGGAGTAGGCTCTGCCACTTTAAGCCACACATCCCACCTCCCTGTGCTGGGCTGCAGAGTCAGGGTGGCCATCCTAGAGGCAGTTCCAGGTCATTCCGCCTCACGAGCAGGGCCATGAAGGGAGACAGACCTCTTGGCAGAGGTGCCAGCTCCTTGGACACTGACCCCAAGCATTAGCATCTCCTTCTGGTGCCCTGGGAAGCTGCAGCTGGGGAGGGAGAGCTGGGCCCCCGGAGGACTGAGGTCCAGGATAAAAGTCCTCCATGCCCACCTTGTCCCTGGGTCCAGACCCTCATGGCAAGTTGGGGGGCCAGGGGCAGGCACCCTGGGCACCTGGTATCCAGACCAGCAGGACAGGATGACCTTGCTCACAGTGGTCAGGGAAGATGCCTGGTGTCCTGACTGATGAGCGGCTGTCCTGTGACCCCAGGCTTATCCAGTGCCCCATTCTCACCCCAGGGACCCAAGCTCCAGTAGCTACTAGGACTCTCCCGGGTCAGTCACCGGTCGGCAAACAAATGGTGTGACTGCCAGTCAGGGAGAGGGACCCTGCCCCCTCCCCCATCACTTGAGTCAGATGCCACTGAGGAGCAGATACCCCTCGGGGCCTGTGGGGGTATCTGCAAAACAGGAGATGGGTGATTGCCTCTGAAGTTGAAATAAGGGATGCCCCCCATCCCAGTCAAGGTCTTGGGGCCCCCCAGCATCCCCCTGAGTTTTTCTGATACACAGAACTGAAGTGAGGGTCTGAAAAACATTCACTCTCTAAAGCTAGGTCTAATTCATTCTCCATCTCCCTCTCTCTCTCTCTCAGCCCTGCCCCCTATTTAGCTCCTTTCCCTGCCTACCCTGCTAGCCTGCCAATATAAATGAGCATTTTGCCAACCCAGAGCCCTCTTTGCAAACTCCAGGGAAGCTAGGTTTGTAATGAGAGCAAAGCCATTTTCCATCCAATGAGAGAGATTTCTCGTGCTGGGAGTGACCAGTCAGGCAACACTCGATGGCTTAAAATAGTGGTGACAAGAGCCCCCCCACCCCACCTTTCCTTTTTCCGAGGGACTGCTCTTCGTAACCCTAATATCGAGGGTTCCCATTCGAGAGAGTGTGGGAAGCCACAGGCTAAACAGACAAGCATAGTCTGCAAGTTGTGCAAGCAAATGTGGGACCCTCCCATCAGGAACCGTGGCAGCTCCCCAGGACCAGGTTCCTCCCCTCTGGTCAGTGTTAGGACTTAAGGCTCCCAGCCTGAGCTAGGAAGGAGCGGGCAGGAGTTGTAACTCCTGCACCCTCTGGGTGTCCTGGGCTTCTCCTCCTCCCTCGGAACTCCCTGGAGGTGGTAGCAGGTAGGCTGTACCAGTATCCACCGCTTGAGAGCGTTGAGGGGCCCTCCCTTCCCTTGCTCGTCTCCCCGCTGTCTTCATTGTCGGAGAGCCTCTGGTCAGGGTTCTCCTCGCCAACCCCATTGCGTGGGATGTGGGGGGTGTGAGGGGCCAACCCCAAGCGTGCCGGGCCTCCACAGACAACAGGCTTTGATTGAGCACCTTCTGGGAACTGGGCCTTGCCTTCCCAGTCTCCCCTTACCCTGGATGGTGAAGGGTTTGGACTGGGTTGATTGCATAAATGGGAACCCCCCCTCCCCGCCTTCCCGATCTTCCTCTGCCCATCTTCCTCTGCCCGTCTTGGCATGTCTGTCTGCAGTTCCCCTGCTGCAGACTCTCTCACTAACTGCAGGCTGCCGGGACATGGAGGGGGGGGGGCGGGGGGCGGGGATCGGGAGGGGTGTATGCAGCAGGATTGATAAATGGGCAACAGGATAAGGGTCAGACTGGGCTTTGAATCTGTGTTTGTACCACAAGCTGCAGAGACAGGTGGCTGGAAGCACACATCTCTGGGGCTGGGTGGAGTGTAAGAAAAGAAATCCAAGAAAGACCATCTGTGTGTGTCTGGAGGGGCAGTGGTCATACCTCTAGGCCAAAACAGCTGGTCTCATCTGCACAAGGTCAAAGAGGCAAGGGCCTGGCTGAGTTTCTAAGCTTAGGAAACCCACTACTCAAACTGGCCTCACCCCCACCAACACCCGAAGCTGAGTTTCAGCCACTGCCAATGGGCCTCTGCATGGAGCCCTTCCCCACTGCCCAGCTCAGCCTCACAAGAGCTTCTGCAAGCATTGCTCAGGCCAGTTGAGGATTTATTCATCATTTTGACGGGCAGGAAGCATTGATCCAGCAGAATTGGTTTAATAAAGAATCGCCAGCAAACCATGATAGATTGATTTTGCGGTTTGGAGTTCAGGGCTCACTGTCATGGGCTGCTTCTGGCATCTCCCGTTCCTGCGGGGGGAAGGTTGGGTGCCTTTTCTGAGGGCTGAGTGGACTCCACTCCGAGGGACCTGCAGCCATGGCTAATAAGAGGCTTTTCTGGGCTGCTTGCCCTTCTCCCCACCATGGCCCCAGCTATCGCATGGCTCCTCCGGGCTCTACAGGCTTGTCTGCCCCCCCCCCCCGCCCCTCCCACTTCCCAGTTGCCTTTTAAAATTTATATTAAGGTTTGGTAAGGGAAGAGACCAGGACACACAGCCAGCCCCTCAGAGCAGTGCTCCCTGGGCTCCTGCCCAAGGCTGGTTGAGCTCTTGGGTCCTGGATGGGTCCTTTCTTCCACATGAGCCATGTCTTGGGAGCCCAGCTTGGCAGCGGGAACCCGGAAAAAATAAAACATAGTGTTTTTCCAAAGAGAGAGGAAAGGAGCGGGGACCTGAGTGAAGTGTACCTGGTTTTGTTCCCAGAAGCCTGTCAGGCTTTCAAGTGTCAGGCTCAGGGGCTCTGCCTGGATGTGTGTATGCCTCGGTGTCTGTCTGAGCAGGTGTCTTGGAGCTGTGTGGGCAGACCTGGGGGCTGGCAGGGAAATCCCCATGTGGGATGTCAGTGATGGGGCACTCCTGTGCCCCAAACTCTAGCTTGGCCCTGAAAGTGGAGGCAGACAGAAGCTTGGTCCTTCTCATCCCTCTGCTCTTCCGTCTCCTAGCCCGAGCCTTTTGAAGCTGTGAAGAAGGGAAGGAAGGGAAGGGAAGAAGTGCCCTAAAGGGTCTTTTCCTTGGGACAGAAACCGCTGGACTCTGAAACCATGGAACCTGGACCAGGGGTCTGATAAGTCCCAAGGGTGACCTCACCCTGACTTCTGGTGCGGGCCCCCGGCCCCTGGCACTGCCACTGCCCCCGTCACATCACTTGCCCAGCCCTATCTGCTCGGGTTATGAGCTTTCTCTGAGCCTCAGTTTTCCCACCTAGGACAATGGGAATCCTGTTGCTCATGTCAGACCTGTACACCTGTGGTCACCCTGTGGAGGTAAGCAGCTCCAGTACCCTGTCAGAGATCATGATGCTGCTGGGAGCCACGCCGCCCCCACTCTCACTGCTTCCTTCCCGTAGTCCTGGGTGGACCACATGGGTCTCTGTCCTTGGCTCAGGCCAGTGGTTCTGAACCTGTGTCAGGGACCTAAGTGAGAACTTGCAGGAAACTATAGAGTGTCTATCGAGAAAGAGGCGCGTATATCCAGACACAACAGGACACTCAATTTCTGGGGTCTGTGGACTCTCTAAGTTGAAGACCATCTAGGTTGTGAACCCCACTCTATCTAAACCATCCCAGCAAAGAGTGCCTGGCCTGGCAGGGGCAGGTGCTAGCCTCTTGGAGCTCGGGCTCCCTGGGGCCGTCTGTAACCTGAGGCCGGGGCCTCCCTTTGCTAGCAGGATGGGCATGAAAATGGAGCAGAGTCAGATGCAGAAGGAGGCAATCTGGGCACTACTTTTCTGTTTCCTCAGTCCCACGCCCAGCTTCTCCCCTTCAACCAGAGGCCGGACTGTTTGCATAGGAGGTGGTGAGGAGGAAGGAGGGAGCAGCCCGGCTCTGGGTTGGTGGGAGGGGGGGCTTCCTGGAGGCCATTGCCCAAGAATGCACCTTCTGCTCTCAGGAATATGGGCACTCACTCTTATCTGTTGTAGTGTAGAAAGCCAGGCCGAAAGGAGCTGCAGGGCTTGCGGCGCCAGGGGAGGGGGAAGGGCGCCTTGGTGCAGAGGGGAATTCCAAGGTGAGCTGCCCGGGCAGTGCTGTTAGCTGGCACAGGGGGCAGCAGGATTCTCCAGTCATGAGGACATGTTCATCCTGATAAGACTGGGCTGGGGGCAAAGGCCAGCACCCAGCTCAGGGCCGAGGAGCTCCCGGGATGCGGGGTGCGCAGAAGCCCCATGGGGCCGGGCCCCTTGTGTCTCCGGGGCAGGGAGCCGGGGCTCCAGGTTTTCCCTGTGGCAAGGCTTCAGTTCCCCGTGGTGTGACTGCTACGTGATGAGGCTGGGGGCTGCTCCCCTGCCCAGCCCTGCCCCTGTTTGTTCCCTTAGCTGCTGTGAGCTGTGAGGCTTTGGGCTGTCAGGTGGCCTGCCTCCCACAGCGCTGGGCTGTCTGCCTGTCTGTCTGCCTGTCCATCTGCCCTCCTCTCCCCTGCTTTCGGGCCCCTGGGTCTTCTGGGATGCCTTCTCGGGCCACACGGCCACCCACCATCAACCATCTGTCCCCGGCCTGACAACCTCAGGGCATTTGGATGGAGCTGTGGGTTTGTTCAAATGCAGTGCTTCTCACATTGTCATGTCATCCAGCTCGCCTGGGGATCCTGTGAAACTACAGGTTCTGACTCATCAGGTCAGAATTAAGGGCGGGGTCTGAGAT